GATAGAGAGTAGAATAAGGGTTACCAGAGGCTGGAAAAAGTAGTGGTGGGGCAGGGTGGAGGGTAGTGGGGATGGTTAATGAGTACAAAAATACAGTTAGATACAATGAATAAGACCTACTATTTGATAGCACAACAGGGTGACTATAGTCAACAATTTATTGCACATTTAAAAATAGCTAAGAATATAATTAGGATGTTTGCAACACAGAGAAATGATAAATGCTTGAGGCAATGAAACATTCATCCTGATATGACAGTTAGGTATGCACTGCATGCCTGTATCAAAATATCTCACGAACCCCGTAAGTATATACACCTACTATATACCTACAAAAATTAAAAAATTTTAAAATTAAAAATAAACATAGAACCTAATTAACATTAAAGACCTTTCACTTAAAAATCAGTAAATAGTTTAAAGGTCAAGATCAAAAGTTTTTTATTTGCTGCTAAAGTTATCTCTAATATACTAAGGTATACTTATATAAAGATGTTCAAGAATAATCACAAGTCTTTCACTCAATACTTGCAGGTTGTCCAATCAATAAATAGTCTGGTTTTCTTAAATAGATAAACTAAATCTACACCTTGAGACTAATAAAATCATTTATTTATGCCTTCACAGAGAATTGATTAGAATTCTCAAATGGCAAAAAGAAAAAATGTTTCTAAATGTTTAAAGTATAACAATAAACTCTGACTTGCACTGATTTCTAACTATAAATGCCATGCTGCACAATGTTGACATCAGATTATTTAAGATATTTCTATTGTGAATCAGTCCCATATAGTCTATAGATTAACTGCTATGACAAGTTGGAACCATTCACTCTATATGTTAAAATAAACCTGGATTTGTTGTTGCCTTTGCAAAGGCATGTGGAAAGAATTTCTAACTGGTACTTATTAGATTAGGATCAAAGTAGTTATAATACACTTTACAGTACTACTTTAAATTTATCTATAAAAAATTATGCTGAACTACTTCCTTTCTCTCAAATATTCTTCATAGACAGGTACCTAATGGTGAATATAAAACCAATGAACTAGTATTTTTAAATGTTGCATTTTTCTTTTTTATGTGTGTGTAGGATTAAGTGCAACAGTTTTGATGTTTATTGTTGATTCTTTCTTTTGCTTCTTAATTAAAAGAGTTAGTGATCAAAAGAAACTGATTTATTTTTCCACATGACTGTTGGGAGGGCCCAATCCTGAATGAAAAATTATGATGAATGCAAACTGATTTGCCCATAAATACATATTTGGAAGTAAAGAAATTATTTCAAGGGGTGCATGAGACCAAATTTTCTAAAAAGTTTTTAAATATGACTTCTGCTTGGCCAAAATCAACAGAAACAAACAATGACCTAAGGTACAGCAATGACAATAGCATACATAATAAAAATAAGGTGATTGAACAAAGGAGGTAAAACTATTATGAAGAATGCCCACTGAGATTATACAAAAAGCTCTTTCAAAACATCCTCAGGATATGTTCCACCTTCCCTTGTAATCCATTTCCTAACAGAATCCATAGCATGTATATCAAGAGACACTTGTGATGGCTAGCTACATGGCTGTCAGGCCAGCTGACCAGAAAAGAACTAGAACTCTCTCCTCACACATTACCTTTTCCCAGCCCAAGCCTTTGAAGCATTTCACATTACACACCAGAAGTAAGTGGGTGATTTCATTTGAACATAAGCCTTACTTCTGGTGTATAATGTGAAAATCTGATCATTAACATATGAAATATATGTAAAATAACTATTACAAAACTATTAAGAGCTATGTAAAAGTAAGTTACTTCATTACACATTATAGTTTTCACATAGTTTTCAATATCAAAAACGTGTTGCTTTTAAGTAAATTCATAGTATAGTCGTCACATCTTGCGACATCTTTGGAAAACATTTATGAAACTACTTCTCAAGTTCTTTCTTTGAAAAAAAAAAACCGGCATATTTTCTTTTTCTTGAAAGCGGGCCTCATTTCCCCATTTCCCCTTTGCCCATTTCCCCTTTGCCCATTAGGATAAAAACACAAGTCGACTTATTTCAAATATAAAATTCTTCCCTATCCTCTTCTCATAGGAGGTTACCATAAACGGAGTCCTGGGGACAGTCTCATTTGACTATCCAACTTCATGCAATTAGATTTAACATAATTGTTAATAAATGAAATAAATGTGTCTTCAAATATATGTATTTATAATAAAATTTAATTTTAAAATAAAATATTCAAATGCAATTGGACCTGCCAAGTGTCATGTACAATAGTGTTTGTTCATTCCCAAACACAAGCTAGCATGCAGACAAATCTAATATTGTTTTGTTTGGTTGTAATACTTTATAAATTGTTTGGTTTTACCATATACCAAACCTCTGCTGTTGAGCTATTCAAACTAACTCCTGCCAAGAACAGTGAATTTGGTGATAGTACTTCTTTCAGGAGAAAAACAACCCCTTTCCTCAGAAAATTAAAAGTGTTTATTTTGGCACTTAAACCTTGTATTGAGCCTTCTGGAAAGTATTTTAAACTGTTGTTTTTAACCTAGACTTGTGACTGAAACAGGAAAAGGTTCCGTAGCTCTGCACCAAAACACATATTTATAGGGTTGATTTTCTTTCGACACCAAAAATACTGGGTTGATGGCAGCAATTTTCAAAACATAATTTCCTAGACCCATGCTATAAATTGGGCCTCTATCGGTGTATTTAACAAATGATTTATTTTTAAACCTCAAAAACTTCTGATGACTAAGAAGTGCTACACATCAATCAAGTACATCTTTAAGTTCCACAATGGGAAGGATTTTAAATACCTGCTCTGTTAGGAATTTCCATGAAAAAGAAAATTTATTTGAGCTTGGACTTTCTTCTTGTGTATGTCAACAAGTTAGGTTTCTAGTTTTTAAGCTTTTTATGATTGAATTTTCCCTACTGGGTATGCAATATCCTCAGACTAGATAAAACATAAAAATATAAAGGCAAACTATGTGAACTTTTTGCAATACTATCCTAATAATGTGTCTGAATACAATTAAGAAGTTTTTGGAAATCAGTGAGTCATTGTTCATAACTCCCATGACCCACCTCTAAATTATTAAAATATAGGAAAGAGACCACAGGAAAAGTATATTGTATATGAAGATACAGTAAAAGTAATAAATAGATCAAACAATTTCACAAAGACAACCAGACAGCTCCAATAATTCTTCAGTCACTAATGACTGATACAAAATACTAAGCATCCTAATGACTGATACAAAATCCTGTGCAGTTCAAGTCCTCCCTACCTTGACTCTTCATCTATGTTTTCCCTTCCAAAAGTCTGGCTGTCTCTTTACAAGAATAATAACAGTAACATCATCATTTTTATTTGCATATGACATTTTTAAAACTCAAAACAATTTAAAATTATATAATTTTGCTTTATAAAATCCTTATTAGGACATACTAGCAGGAAATTAATGGTTTAAAAATTCTGGAAAAATAGAGATTTATGATCTCTATTATGTGATCCAGCAATCCCACGGCTGGGTATATACTCAAAATAAAGCAAATCAATATATCGAAGAGATATCTGCACTCCCATGTTTGTTGCAGCACTGGTCACAATAGCAAAATTTGGAAGGAGGCTAAGCGTCCACTGACATATGAATAAATAAAGAAAATGTGGTACATATAAACAATGGAGTATTATTTAGCCACAAAAAAGAATGAGATCCTGTCATTTGCAACATAGATGGAACTGGAGATCATTATGTTAAGTGAATTAAGCCAGGCACAGAAAGGAAAATGTCACATGTTCTCACTTATTTGTGGGATCTAAAAATCAAAACAATTGAACTCACGGACATAGAGAGTAGAATGATGGTTACCAGAGGGTGGTAAGAGTAGTGGGGTGTAGGGGAAGGTGGGGGTGATTCATGGGTATAGAAAAAGAAAGAATGAGACTTACTATTTGATAGCATAACAGGGTGACTATCATCAATAATACATCATACATTTTTAAATAACTAAGAGTGTAAATTGGATTGTTTGTAACACATAAGATAATAGCATTTGATTATTATGCATCATATCCCTGTATCAAAACATCTCATGTACAACTACTATGTCCCCACAACAATTAAAAATAATTTTTTAAAAAAAAATTCTGATATGGTTGGATTGTTTTATTCTTAAAAAATATATATATCTACCAAATATATCCTACTAAAAATCCGCAACTGTCTTTGTTAATTAAGCACAAATTTTAATTTGAAAAGTCTGGTCCTGTCTGCTAAGACTTACTTTTGCTAGATCCGTAAATACCAAAAAGATCTATTCAAATGAGGGCAATAAGAGTAAAATAAATGGAAATTAACTGGTATCACTAAAAATAAATAAAGATTATAAAGGAGGGGACTCTCCCTAATCAAAAATCACATTGCACACTGCTGGGATTATACGAAGATGACAGAAATCCTTCTTACTGGCATTTAAATCTTGGGCCATCCTAACACTCTTCCGGTGTCAGTGAAAAGTACAACGTTGGCATTATAACAAACAATAGTTTACAGACTATCAGTGCGCTAGGGTGTCTTTGCAGAAGGCTTAGCTAGAGCTCTACTGTCACTTTTTTCTTATTGAAATGTAAAATGTTGATTGTTTTATAAGCTGAGTGAAAAATACTTAGGTATTTACATACAATCAGGTCCATAAAAGATAAAAATTCACTTATCAGAATTTGAGTCCTGTTAATTGACATACTCAACTTTCTAGGATGAACTTATAAATAGAATGGGGGGTGGGAATCAATCTTCATTCCCTCTCTTTCTCTTTTCTTTACTCATGAAGAAGCAATGCTTTATCTCTGTCCACTCTGGGTGCGGGGGGAAGTATGCTGCTTGTAAGGGATAATTATTTGGAGAATACTTTAGTTTCACAGTTGATGAAATTACAAACGGATACTGTTTGGGGTATTAACGTAAATAGGTATAACAGAACCTACCTGAAAAAGAACATGTACATGGCAGCTGTGATGCAAAACAAAAGGACCTGTAACAAGGAGAAAATACATTACTTGCAAAAGAACGCTGACATCACCATTTGAGTGAATCATAAAAGCAAAATACTATTAAATCTTGTGCCTGAAACAATAAAAGGATACACAAACCAGTCACACACATTTCATATTCTCGACCTTTCATATAAACCAAACTTGTTCAACCTGCGGCCTGTAGGCTGCATGAACTCCAAGACAGCTTTGAATGTGGTCTAACACAATTTGTAAACTTTCTTTAAACATTGTAATTTTTTTTTTTTTGCAATTTTTTTCAGTTCATCAACTATCATTAGTGTTAGTATATTTCAAGTATGGCCCAAGACAAATTTTCTTCTTCCAATGTGGCCCAGAAAAGCTAAAAGATTGGACACCCCTAATATAACCAATATTAGGAGAATAAATTGCAATACTTATATGTAACTATCATCATGTATATAATTATATATATTATACAGACATATACAGACTGGATAGAAGGGTAACAGGGTTCAAAAAAAAGGGAGCAGCAAATTTTTAACTTTCTGTTAGAATGCCTAAACAAGCAAGCTTAACTTAAAAACAAGGACAACAGCTTTTGTATAATCAATTCAGTGAATAAATCAGAAAGCTTATTAACTGTGATATGAAGATGACCAGATTTTCTAATGTAAAATACAGTACAGTTGTTAACCAATTCTAATCAATAAGAAAAGCTCATAAAAATACAATATTCCTTTGTGGAATACGGACTAGCTATAAAAGTAATTCCTCTAGAAGCAGGCATAAGAACATCTGAAATGATGATCTCAAAAACATCACAGTAAACACAACCATATTAAGATGGTATGTGGAAGGAACCCAGAACTCCAGTCCTGACTAACGTCTTAGTTACACCAAAAAAACAGATTGGAAAAGTTGTTTTAAATCACAAAAATTAAAGTTGTAGAATGCATTCTTATGTTAAAAAAACAACAGTATATATTAAGCATAAGAATTGTCAATGGCTTCACATCACAGACAAATAAGAAATGAACTTTCTTTCGATTGTGAAAGGCTAACCACAAGAACAGAAATGAAAACACTGGAAAAATTGTTTTGCTATTTCTAACACAAATAATTTCTAGTCAACTTGATGAAAGCATGGTAATGATGCCATTACAAATCAAGCTTGACAAGTTTGCTGTCTTAGCCTAAGATAAGCATTATATATAGCCTGAATGACTTAGAAATGTATAAATATACCAATGAAAAAGGATTGGTATCAATTAATATGAAGTAAATATTATATATATTTATGTAACATTATATATCTATAAAATCTTTCTGTGCTAAACACACATACTCTTCTCCCCTCCCTCTTTCGCTTCTTCCTTCCTCTCTCCATCTCTCTTCTCCATTGACTTAAAACACCCTATCCATGAAGCGTAAGGTTCATTTTACCATTTCACTGTTTTTAGAAACATAACTTAAAGCACGTAAAATAATTTTCAGTTATTTCCAATTGATTATAAATTAAAGTCTAAGTGGGTTTATTTACAGGTTATAATTTGCCTAACAAAACTCAGTCATGATATTCATTTTTTAAAATTTCTCTTTCAATCCCTGTTAGACAATGCCATCCTTCCCAGATGTTCAATGCTTCAGGCTTTTCCTCCACTAATCCTCCTAATAATACACTCGAAACTGAGAAAAAGTACAATGTTTCAGAACTCAAGCGTTAGACTAAGATAGACCTAGGTTTGAATCCTAGTTCTGTGTACCTCTAGATATTTTATATAACTTCCCTAAACCTTAGATCCCTTATCTATAAACTGAGAATAATATCATACTTTGAATTATTTAGAAGAATTAATAAGATGATGCTTATAAAAGTTTATAAAAACAGTCTGCTGAAGAAGAATTAATGAGAGGATGCTTATAAAAGAAAGGTGGAGTTATCGTCCAACAAATAATGGGAGACTGCTATAACCAGCTTTATAAAATTCTTCAGCAGATTGTTTTTATCTTGTTTTGTTACTGACATAAGTGATCTAGATAGAAAAACCTAACCCAGAGACATAAATCTGGAAAGAAATTATTTTTTAAGCAGGGAGTCCTTTTGAAATCTCACTGATAATTAGGAGAATAAATCAAAAGGATATTACAGTGCAATTGACTGATTCATTAAACAAATATTTATTGAATTCCTACTATGTGGCTGGTACCGTTCTAACACTTACCACAATGCACAAAATGGACAAAGTCCTTGGCCTCATGGAACTTATCTTTTAGCCAGGTAAGAGAATATATTTTTTAAAAGATGTATGTTGGACAGTAGTAGGAGTTTTGGAGATAAAGTAGAATAAGGAAAGGGAAATACAGGAGACTGGGGGTTGTTATTTTATACAAAGTGGTCAAAGAAGAAGAGACTTGTTAGCAGAGACACTGTAAGAGAAAAGCCAGGGGACCATATGCATAGAGCTACTGGAAGGATTTTGGATTCCATCAAGAAAGATGGGAACTTAATGCAAAATATGTTTGTTATTATTTTAGTTAAAGATGCTAAAAACAGCATTTCATTTTTAGCTAAGTTTTTAAAAAAGTTTTTAAAACTGTGCTAGTTTATCATTGTTACTTTCACAAAGTATTTTTCCAAATAAATCTAAATCCACAGCTAAATAAGGAAGAATACTTCCTCTGTGTTTGAAATTACAGAATTTTAAAGCTAAAAGACAGTTTGATATAAACCATCATATTTTTTCATATCAGGAAACTCAGATCCTGAAAAGGTAAGCGATACGTCCATGCTCACTGAGCTAGCTGTATCTTACATTCCTTCATTAAACAAATATTGGCCAAGTGGTTACTCTGTACCTGCTAAATAGAGAGGATATTTGAATACAATTCTGACCCTCAAGGACCTTACAGGATACTGCAGTCCAATGCTGTAGTTACTGGACACGTGTGGCTATCTAAATGATTTAATAGCTTTATTGAGGTATAATCAAAATAAACTGTACATATTTAAAGTGTACAATTTTATAAGTTTTGACATAGCTATGTACCTGTAAAATAATCATCATAAGCAAAATAATAAACATATTCACCCAAAAAGCTGCTTATAGCACTCTCCCATTATTTGTTGGACGGTAACTCCACCTTTCTTTGGCTTGATGTTAGCTGTCTTGTAGTTTTAACTGATTGGGGTCTTTACATTTGAAGTGCATTGCTTGTAGGTAGCATATAATAGTTTCCTGCTTTTTTATCCTATCAGAAAATCTTTGTCTCTCAATTGAGATATTTATACTATTTACATTTAATGATTATTGGTATGCTTATATTTAAATCTATCATCTTGCTATTTATTTCTCTACTTATCTCTTACTGTTTTTTTCCCCTCGTTTCTGCCCCTTTTTGATTAACTAAGTTTTTGTATTGTTTTGTTTTGTTTTTTGAGACGGAGTCTCACTCTGTCACCCAGGCTGAAGTGCAGTGTTGCAATCTCGGCTCACTGCAACCTCCACCTCCCATGTTCAAGCAATTGTCCTGTCTCAGCCTCCCCAGTAGCTGGGAATACAGGCACATGCCACCACACCCAGTTAATTTTTGTATTTTTAGTAGAGATGGGGTTTCACCATGTCAGTCAGGCTGGTCTCAAACTCCTGACCTCACGTGATCCACCCACCTCGGTCTCTGAAAGTGCTGGGATTACAGGTGTAAGCCACTGCACCCAGCAACTGAGTATTTTTCAATGATCGCATTTTCTTTCCTTTGTTGGCGTATTTTAGTGTTGGTTTTATGGTTTATAGTACACATCTATAAATTGTTGTCTATATTCAAATGACATTATACTACTTAAGATATAGAAAAAAAATCTTCCAATAATGTATTTCCATTTCTCCCCTCTTGATCTTTGTGCTATTATTGTCATCCATAGTGTATGTATGTACAGATATATCTAAATTCATCATTATATTTTAATCACTTTGACTTAAAAATGTAGGTCTGCAAAGTTTTTTCATTTTGTTTTGAAAGATACTTTTGTCGGGTATAGAATTTTAGGCTGATGGATCATTTTGTTTCAGTGGTTTACAAATGTCACTCCATTGTCTTTTCACAATTTGATTATGATGTGCCTTGGGTAGTCTTCAAAATATTTCCTGTAGTAGGATTTATTAGGCTACTTGGATCTCTGGGTTTACAGTTATCAAATTTGAGTAATTTTCGGTCATTATTTCACCATTATTTTTTCTTCTCCCTTCTCTGCTTCAAGAACTCCAATTACATGAATAGGAGGTCACCCACAACTCACAGATGTTATCTTTATTTGGTGATTAAAAAAGAAAAAAACAAAACCATGGCCAGGCACAATGGCTCATCCCTGTAATCCCAGCACTTTGGGAGGCCAAGGTTGTCAGACCACTTGAGGTCAGGAGTTCATGACCAGCCTGTCCAACATGGCAAAACCCTGTCTCCACTAAAAATACAAAAATTAGTCAGGCATGGTGGTGCACATCTGTAATTCCAGCTACTTGGGAGACTGAGACATAAGAAATCCTTGAACCCAGGAGACAGAGGTTGCAGTGAGTGAGACCACCACTGCACTCCACCGAGGTGATGGAATGAGACTCTGTCTCAAAAAAAAAAAAAAAAGAAAAAAAAGTCTCTTTTCTCTCTATGTTTCATTTTAGATGGTTTCTATTCTTATGTCTTCAGGTTCACTAACACTTTATTCTGCAATGTATAATCTGTCATTAATATCATCCAGTAAGCTTTTCATTTCACAAATTGTAATTTTCATCTCTAGAAGTTTCATTTTTCCTTTTTCCCCATTTCCATGTCTCTAACTTTTTGAAACTATAAAATTCAGCTATGATAACTCTTTTTAATATCTTTGCCTGCAATTTAACATATTTATAAGTTATCATTTGGTACTAATTTGCTGATTTATCTATTCAAATTTTCCTATTTCTTATTGCATGGTGGTAATTTTTTACTGGCTGTCAGCCATTCTAAATTTTACCTTAATAGGTGT